AGTGAATTTTCTTGTAACGCATATTTGTGGTAAAGCAGAGATCCTCTAAGCCCTCTTGCATATTCAGATATTTCTCTTGTGATTATTATGGCATTTCACATCGTTATTGTCAAACTCACTATCTGCTTCTCAAATTCTCATATCTATAACTTGTCAAATTTTCCATGCTTGGCACTTGCCCCACAGTAAACAATTCCCGGGCACCAGCCCCGGTAAGTTATCAGTAGTCCATCACGTACTCACCAGGTTGACATTTACTTGTTTCACTCGTGTCTGTGGTCCCGATGACAAATAATGCCGGAATCGGTGGCTGATCCCTCATCCTTTCTTTATGTGATTCGTGACTTCCTGGAGCCTGGTCTCTTCCTGGAACCACTGCAGAGGAAGCTACTACACCACCAAGAGTGCCAAATGTGGTTCTGTTCTTTTCACGATCTTCTCCTTTCTCCACTCCTTCATTTCAAATCCTTCATTATTGACTCCTTGCCCAGATTCTTGTCTCTCTCTCCTAACTCTGTCTGCATGGCCAAGAAGCAGCAATTTCTCCTCGGGCTAGTCTTCTGATTTTCTGCTGCTTGATCTCACTGGGCTCTCACTCTCTTTAGGTCTCTCAGGAGTGTCTCCTATGCTTGATGCATTCGCTTAATAAACATTTATGGGGCCCCACTTTGTGCCAGGCACTGTGCTCAGCATGGAGATCCAGAGTGGACCAGAGAGCTCGTGCTAGACCTCACCTGGCTCACAGTTTTGTAGGAAAGACAGACAAGTTGACCAAACAAGTAAAATCAGTGTGACGGTGGAGCCAGACCTCAAGTGGTTGAGGAGCCCAGAGGAATGGTTTCTAATCTAGCCTGGGATGGGTGCAGGTGCAGGAGGGACCATGAGAATCTTCCCAAATGAGGTGACAAATAAACTGAGTCTTGTGGACAAGTAGAGAGTATGTGCATCACAGATAGAGAGAATGGCACGTACACATAGGAATTGGAGAGCCCGATTGGCTCATCATGGCCGTTGTGGAGGCCAGAGATGGGACTGGTGACTTGGGTGGAGGTAGGTCATGGATGGCCTTGCAGAACATGCCAAGGACGTTAGATTTTATCCCAAGGGTGAAGTGGAATCACTAAAAATGCTGATAACCTTTGCATCAGGAAATCTTGAAGCTTTATGAAGGATTGGAGGGCAGAGTGAACTGGAGATGGAGAAACTATTGCAGTAATCTTGGCCAAAAATGATGAGAGCCTGAAATACGACAGTGAGAGACCACGCCCTTTCTCTTGACACTGGGCCTTTGCACATGCTGTTATCTCCATAGCAAGTGCTTTACATGTATCATCTCATCAAACACCTGCAAGAACCTGAGAGTGAGAACTATTGTTATATCCATCTGACAGATGAGGGAACTGAGGCACCAAGAAGTTAAATAATTGCCTGGGCTCACATGTATCCAAAAATGGTGGAGCCAGGATTCAAACTCAGCCTATGCACTTAAGTAACGTTGTCCCTTGTCTTGACTTGAGAGAATCACTGTGTCTTTTTGACAAATAGGGAGTGACTAAAAGGCAGGGAAGAACCTCGAGCAGTACCGTCGGTGGAAATATAGTGCAAGCCACACGTAATTTTAAATATTCTAGTAGCACATTAAAAATTAAAGGGAAATTTTTATTAAACTCAATACATGCCAAATATTATCATTTCAACGTGAAATCAGCATAAAATATTATTGAAATATTTCGCATTCTTTTTTCTGAACTAAGTCTGGTGTATATTTTATAGTTACAGACATCTCAATTTGGACCAGCCATATTTGAAATACTTAATAGCTAATTTTAATATTCCAAATAAGTACCAAGAGCTTAGTGTGGCTGGGGGCTACCATGTTGGACAGCATGGATCTAGAATGGCTCTCATCTTTCTTCTGTGGACAGCATGGTAGATGGCAATAACATTTTCAGAGATAAGGGAGTATAGGAAGAAAAGATAATGTGGAAGGAGTTTGAAATGCTTGTGAAACGTCTAGGTAGAGATTCTCAGGGCTTGGATATGTAGGTGTGGATCTCAGCAAAAAGGGCTGAGTAGAGATATAAATTTGAGACCTATTCCTGTGTAGATGGCTGTTAAGACCCCAGGTAGAAGGAACTCACACGGGGAGATGATGTAGAAGGATGGAGCCTTTGGAAACCACTGGAAGGAAGGGATGCCCCGTGCAGGTGGAGGAGGTCATCTGTAGCAGCAGGTGAGGCATCTCCCCTTGAGTGGGAAGGAAGGCAGGCAGGTGAGTATGGATGCAGGCAGGTTTGTGTAGGCAAAAGAATTGGGGAAAGGCAGGAAGTAGGCCTTCTAACCTGGCAGGGGTTCTCTGGGCTCATCCCTCTTTCTTCTCTTCTATGGAAAAATGAGCCCTAACTTTTATATCTGACTGCTCACAAAAGTCTGTCTGCAAAAAGTGGATGAAGAGGTAAACAAAGCATAAATATTTGTCCAGTCAGGGACTAAAACCAAGACAGCTACTCGTTTCTCCTATTGCCACCTCGTTCACTTGCTCTCTCTCATGAAAATTTTTATTTTGAAATAACTGTAGACCCACAGGAAATTGTGAAAGTAGTACAGAGTGTTTCCTTGCGCTCTCCATCCTGCTTCCCCCAATGGCGACACCTCACATCACCATAGCACAGTATCAAAACCAGGAAAGTGACATTGGTACAGTACTATCAACTGGACTTCTACTCTCTCTTTTACCACTTCCTAGCAAGAAGTACCCTGAGTAAAAAGAATCAGAAGGATGTAAGAGGTAATGTACAACCAGGTCAAGAGCTTTTGTGCGTTCGAGAAGTTGTAGCTACCCCTATAGCTAGATGACATGCATCAGATACAACGCTAAATGCCACCTAAATGCTCAGGTCAAAAACACCTGCTTACAGCCATGTGTAATTTGCACCACCATTGCGTGCTTAGACCAGGCTCTTCACTGTCTGTTTGGCTTTATCTCATTACACAGAACAGCAAAGAAGAACAGACTGTTCCGTTGTTCTCAGCAGCATCTAGAATGAGGAACGTGTGACTCAGGAGCGAGAAGCGAAGTGCCCAAGCTTGCACTGCCGTACACCCCAGGTCTCACTGACCACAGAACTCAAGCCCCGTTGGTGACATTGCACTGTCTCTTGGTGGATAGCTGGTTCCTGCCCCCATCCACACAGCAGAAAATGGGTGGATTAGGAGGGAGTTAGCCTTCAGCTGAGGGACTCCGTCCAACTTTCCAGCAGGAAGGATTTTAGAGGAATCCACAGCACCCAACACAAGAGGCTCCCAGATAAATGCTGGGGGGTTAAGGGAACCAGCTCACAAAACAAACAGACCCAAGGAGACAGGCACCTTCCTCAAAAGCAAAATCAAACACGGAAAGAACCGAGAAATCTCATTGCTTCAAGGAAATGAAAACCAACAAGAGAAAATGAAGCCAACTTGAAGGGAAGAGGGGCTGTCCACCAGCCAGGGTTTGGCCCAGGCGAGTAACCCATTTATTACCGGGACTGGGAGCCTTCCTCTGTATTCCACTCTAAGTGGTAATTTGTTAACGGGTAAACGTGGAATGACTTTCTTTCTCCCTTAGAGAGAAATGAGCTCTAGTTCTCCAAAAACAGTATATCTGGTAAGAAGTAGAAGACAGAAAAAAAAAATGTTTCTTCCATTAAGATCCGAAAAGCAAAGGAAATCCATATTTCTGGTAGCTGGGTGAAGAGTTGGGACTTGACAATTTCTGAGCTGCCGAAGAAGGGAAAATGCAGCAGGAATAGGCTAGATAAAGGTGATCAGATGCCTTTAGGCTGAGTAATCTCTAAAATGACATTTCTCCGATGCCGGCTCCTTGTTTATTTCGTGTATCTACACCTTCCCCTATATTGTAGTGTATTATATCTGTGCTACCAGTAATAAAATAGTTTTTGTCAAATCCAAGAAGACAGGCTGAGAGCAATTTGCAGTTGTGAAGACAAACTATAGGCTGAAGGAAACGGGACACAGGGAAGGAGTTCCTTACTCTGTCGCAGCCATCGGTAAAAGTCTTCAACTCTCCGGTGCTGAGACAGAGCAGCAAACGCAGGAGGAGTGTAGAGGACAATAGCTGAAATCAACTCAGCTCCATAAATGCTGCCATCAAATCGTCAAGGGTGAGAAAAAAAAGTGATCTGTTTGATGGACTGGCCCTGCACTGACCGGAGGTTGAAATTCAGCTGAGAGACGGGATGTGTGGCCAACCTCTCCCATAACAATGCCATTTGGCCATTTGCACCGACCCCAGCCACGTGTTTGGGGGTGATTACGTGCAGCCTGCATTTCAGAATCTGTGCAGAGGCTTAAACAGACCGGCTTTCTGGTCAGACAAGAACACCACCAGATGTGACTTAAATGCGCTTCCTCTTTCAGCCATTTAAAATGTGAGAAATTCCTCCCTTATCTCGTCCACTGTGGGGAACTATTTTTATCCTGGTCTTTCAACTGCAGCTCTGAGACACATCACAGATATTCCCACAAAAGTTCCACAGGTTGAGAATGAAATAAATCCCGTGCCAGACAGACTTGCACCCCCGGGCAGGCAGACGGGGCAGTGAGTCCTGTCACAGCAGTATTTCCTACGATCACTTTGAACTACAAATAAGTTAAGTGGGGGCAGCATGACCGACGGGGCAGAATTAAAATGTGATGAACGTGGCATCTGGTTTCTCTTCTCTATTCAGCTTTCACAGAAGTGAACACAATAAAAAGGGAAGAAGCAAGGAGGAAAAGTAAGAAGAGACAGGGCCCCTTCTGGGAAAATCGAGTCTACTCTTGAATTTTCAACTGTGCCTTCCACCTCGGAAAGCCAGTGACCACTTTTACTGAGCATCAGTTGACAGACACGCTGAGTTTGATGCAGGCTGGAGCCAGGCAAAGGGTGGCAGCTTCTGCCCAATCTTTCTGCTGTCTCCCTTCCCCGTTCCAATCATGATAAATATATTTATACTCACTTGATTATGTCAGCCAGACAATGCTCCCCTAATTGGCAGTGATCAGGGTTCCAGAATTGCTTGGGTGAACCTGCTGTCTCTCTATCAGGCAAAGCGATAAAGGGCTGCTAATGCGATCCCCATGAACAATTTCCAGTGGGATGAAAAACAAGCCCCCGACTCGTGCATGGCAATGAATTTTCCTAACAGCTCCTAAGAGCCAGCCCCTGAGGAACTCAGACTTACATGAACCTGCCCAGCATAGAATGCTTTTATAAATCTTCCCCACCCCCGGCTCGAGTGCATAGAAAAAAACCATAGCCACTTCCTTCTGCGCAAGTTTCTTTTGTTCTTTTGCATTTTTCTTTTATAGCATTTATGGAGCTAACTGTCATTTTTGGTTCTTCTCGGTTCTTTGTAAGTTTCAGGGACAGCTGGTGCACAGTTTACTGCATTTGCCAGCTCTGGTATTTGTAGATATGTATGGGATCTCTGCTGCGTGCGCATGTTAACACTCCACATGCATAATTTATGCATGCATAATTTGGAGCTTGAGTGCATTGGTATATTTTGACATTTAAGTGTGACTACAGTGCTGATCATAAGTAATTGCTCAATAAATATTTATTAAATGAATGGATGCACCAAGAAGGCAAGTGTCGTTCATTCATTCACCAGACATTTGAATGCCTACAATGTGCCAGACACTGGGCTAGATGCTGGGTGTTCAGTGATGCATACGCACAGTCCCTGCCCTCAGGGAGCTCGCAGTCGAAGGGCAGGAGGCAGGCACATAAACAGGCAATCATAAGACATCATGGAGTCTCACCCTGGTATCAGGGTAGCATGCAGCTCCAAGAAGGGAGACTTTCGTCCACTTAGGGGAGCAACTGAAGCCATGGGGGGTCTCCTGAAGGTGGGGAAGCCTAAGCTGGGGCCTTAAATGGTTCCAGACAAAGAGGACAGCACAATCAATGGCAGGAGACAAGAAGTAAGGGGATGTGAGCAGAGAACCAGAAGGCAGATGGTGCTTGAGGCAAGGAGTTGACAGAAACGAAGTGGGAGCTCAGGCAGGGACTGGCTCTTGGGGGCGCTCAGAGAGGAATAAGGAAAGGAGCTTCAATTGTCTCAGTTAGGGCCCAAATTCTTCTGGATTCTGCCAGAATTTGTGCACACATATCTCAAAGCAGAATTTGGACTGGCTTTGAAAGCATTGCTGGGGGGCAGTCAGGAGATGTGGTCACACCCTGAATCCATCGTTAACGAGCTGTGTGAACCTGAGCAAGGGCCAGCTTCCACACGGGTAAGCTGAGCAGGTGGACCCTGTGGGCTCTAAGATTCCTCCCAGGTTTTATACTCTAAGTTACCTAGATTCTCTGAGGTTTACATATACACCACAGCTGGGCCTATCCCATGTACAAACTGTGGGGCTCTAAATGAATGAGGCTACTTCCAAGAAGCACACAGTAATGTGTTATCACTGTCTTATAGTACAGAGGCAGCTGGGCACATTGAGCGCAATTTTACAAAAATCCACAGGAATGGATCGTTTGATGGAGATATCCTACTGTCCCCAGCCTGGGGGAGGGTTTCATCATCTCAAGTCTGTAAGACTCTCAATTAAATTCATAGCACGGACCCTTGCCTGATTTAGTCTCTCTAAAGGAATTCTTGGCTCACATCCCTTCTGCTCAAAAACTCCCAATGATCCCACTGTACTTACAGAATCAAGCCGAAGTCCTTAGAGTGGCATTCAAGGCCGTCTCCAATCTATGCCCTACCCTACCCACCACGATCCCACCTCAGCCGTGTGGGACTTCTAGCAATGGCATCCAGGAATGATTCTACTGCTCTGCCTTTTCTCACTCCAGCCCCCCACAAAAGGTCCAACTCGAATTCAAGTCCATCTCGTCCAGGAATGTTGTCTGGTTACCCCGATCCCTTCTGAATCCCTAACCACTTACTGATCATGTGATTCATTAGTGATTATTAATTTCACTCTGTGGTTTGTGTCTTACCTCCCCAGCTAATTTGTAAGCCCCGGAGGATAAGAACCAAGACTCACCCCTCTGTCGTCTATGGACCTAGCACAGTATCCCACTCAGGGTAAATATTGGCTGATGATGGGTTCCTATATCATAGCCTCTATGAGACCATGGAGTAAAATCCACGGGAAATATGATGATTATTATTATTGCTATCACAGCACTGTGGCCTGAAGCTCTTTTTCCCTCTTCTTAGAAAAAAGGAACCTCGGAGAGAGTGGTTTGCTGTAACAATTTGGAGTAATGAGAATGTGAAATGTTTCTCCCACGATTCATAAACAGTATTTTACATGTGTTACTTTGGAGCTTAAAGTTCATCCACGAATGAGCTATTTCGCAGATCAAAAGGAGCATATATGCAAGCCACCAGAAGGAATAATTACTCTGCTAAGTTTCGGGAAACTGACCGAAGGCTCCAGCCTGAAAGTAGAAATGCTTTAACATCACATGACCGGAGAGGAACATGAGCGACTGACTTCATTTCTGGCCCCCACATTCAGTTTCTATTGTACATGTTCCACTGAGGAGCACAAGCAATTTTTCAAAGAAGAGGAACTGGCATTAAATCAATAAGGAAAATCACCATTTCCTTCCTGATCCAACAGCATTTAAGGAAGCTGAGCTCTGCCAATATGTACAACTGTGCAGAATTTGTAGCTGGGCAGTTAAAACCACCGTCGAAGCTGGCAGCTGTGATTTTCCCAGAAGCAGAGCTCAGGAAGAAAAATAGCTTTTAAACTTCAGTTCCATTTTTGCAAGTTGGATCTGTTCATGAAAAACTGTTCTAAGTCCAGGGTTTTTTTTTTTCTTTTCTTTTCTTTCTTCATTAGTAAAGAACATGACTGTTTCTTTTATCCACATGGAAATTCGTTCTTTTACTCAACATATATTTATTGAGCATCTATCTCGAGTCACGTGCTGGGGATGCAGATGTGGACAAAAGAGGCAAGGGCCCTGGCCTCATGGAGCCTGGCTTCTAGTGTAGAGAGAGAGATAACAAATAAGCAAACAAATAAGTAGACGTATGCTATGTCGGGAATAGATAACTGAAATAATGCCAATATCTTATTGTATTTGGAAAATTAATTTCCAGAAGATAAAAAATTAAGACCCCTCCCTGAACATTATCTTAGCTCATCTATGTCACATGTATTAAAGGTAGTTTTAAAAAGGATAACTAGTAAGGGATACATACACTGCTCTTTGCTTGCAATGTTGACATTCCCTACTGCCTTTAAGGGGGCATATGTCCCTGAGGAGAAATTTTAGGAGAAGGATTTGTGCCAACTTGTATTCGCTCCACTACAGCGTTGTATGGCATGATGGCCCCCACTGTGTCCTACGCTGGAAACCTGGGATTCCTGTTGGACTCCTCCCTCTCTCTTCCTCTTCTTTCCCAATCTGGCAGGACTCTCTAATGAGTCTTTAAGCCCCATCTTTTAAATATACCTTAAACCAACTCCCTTCTTTCCATCACCCTCTCCTTAGTGCAGGCTCTCTCCACAACCTCAGCATCCTATTTCTCCTCCCTGATTCTAGGCTCAAATGTCTCCAGGCTCCCCTCCTCATTGCTCCCAGAGTGATGTGTGTAAAACACGACCTTCCCTGGCTCCCCACGCCTGTAGGATGGAGCTCAGGCCTCTTGGCCTGGTCCCTGCATGCCTGGCCCCAGCTAACCTGAGCAGCTTTGTGTTTCTGCCTCTTTCCTAGATCCTGGGCCCCAGTCATACCAGCACCATGGAATGCTCCCTGGTGATATAACATGAAATTGTTCCTATGTGTTTCTTCTTTCTTGAATACTCTTCTTCTTTCCCCTCAATCCTTGCCATCCTTTAACATGGCTCAGAAGTTACCTTCTCTATGTAGCCTTCCCAGACCCACCAAGTAGAGCTGCATTCCCCCTCCTTTCTACCCAGAGCGTATCCTGGCCACCTCCTCCTTCAAGTACAGCATCTGATGGAAGACTTGCGATGGTTTGTTTACTTCTGTGTCTTCCCTCCCAAGCTGTAAGCTCACCCAACTAGGGAGGGTCTTATTTGCAATCTTAGAGCACAGCACTGTGCCCGCTCCATAGCAGGTCCTCAACAAATATTTGATGAATGAATGGACGAATGAATGAGTGACCTATGGTCTCTTCTGGTTTGACTTGTGCTAAAGTATGCATTTGAGAATTAGGTGACTACAGAAAAAGAACAGAGTAAAACCAAGGACTTAACTTGGTCTTGTGAACAACAGATTCTAAACATTTGAGTTAATGGACTGTAGATGATGAGGAATTTCAAAACCAAATTTTCCTAGACAATATTTCTGCGTGTACTAAATCTGGAGATTGTTGAGAAGTTCCAATAAATGATTAAAGCTTGTAAAACAGAACAATTAAGTAATCTGGATCATTTACTGCAGAAGAGTCACCTGAAGAGACTTAATAATGGCTTTTGATGAAAGGAAAGATTGTACTCCAAGGACGGCTACACATCATCCTTCTGCATGTACACAAAAGAAGAAGAAATGAGATTAAAGTGCTACAAAGATTAAAGTTAAAAACAAACAAAAAAGAACTCAGTGCTTTCTGACTGGGATATATGAGCCCATTTCAAGTTATTATTACAAATAACTCACGTGTGTCGAGGGCTCACTCTGAACCAGGCATTGTTCCAAATGCTTTACCATGTGTTATTTCATCTAATCTTCACAACAAACCCGTGCGAGTTAGTTTTACTTATCTTATTCCAGTTTTACAGATGAGGAAATGGAGGCACAGGATAGTTAAGTAACTTACCTGGGTCACACAGCTGGAAAATGGTAGAGTGGAAATTCCAGCCTGGGCTGTCTGGCTCCTGAGCCCTTGTTCTTACTGACTCTGCTTACTGCCTTGTGAGAGGCTGAGATAGATGCCAGACCTCCTAAGGATGGAGGCCTAACGCTAAGCTCACGAAAGTTCGATGAGTTCATGAGGCTAGTTTAAGTCTAAGTGAGAAAATCCCTGAAGACATTGATTGTGTTTCATGGCCAGGGCAACTAGCTATCTCGTGGGTTTCACTATACCAACGCATGGGCTCACGTGTATTTGTGTGCATACGTGTGCGTACGTGTGTGGACGTGTGCGTGTGCTGAAGTTAGAGCATCCATCTTCCTTTTCTTTCTCCTGGTGAGTTGGCCTACCAGCTCTCGTCTTTCTAATAAGACACTAAGTCACTTTTGTTTGTTTTAGGCAGTCAGCATACACGGTTTAAGCATCCATATTTGTGCATGTATTCATGAGACCTGACATAAATCAAGTCAGATTTAGATATTATGATTTTTACCTCCAGAATAATAAAATTTACTCTTGGGGCTGAAAAGCCAGCATCTTCTTCCCTGTTATTTTTCCAACGCAGTCTTGTTCAGCCTTGCTCAGGGACATAAGCAGTGGGGTCAGCACAGAACAGGGGCAGCTTGCAAAGCAATTCATGTGGCCGTTGAAAGGAAGCGCCTGCTCCTCTGATCCGCGGAGGAGAGAGTGATGGAGCCCTGAGCTGCACTCGGGCTGCACGGGGCCTGGAGGCTGTTTCGGGAGGACCTGGACGGCCCAGCAGGAGCCCCATGAAAAGGGTATGAATGAGTCACTAGACTTTTCAGGTTGACTGAGATGACTCTGTTGATTTTCTTTGAATTTAGATGTGTTATCAGCTTTCACACGTTGGGCATAACGGGAAGAGGATGGGCGAACACTTGACAGAGCCTGGCCTTCGGTGGGGTTGTGATAAGACTTGAGGCAAGATGTGACTCTGCAGGGATGTGCTGGTCAGTGCCTGTGGGCTGGGTCCCTGTGTGCATTCAGGGCCCCTCGGGGCCCAGCTTAGTGTCCTGAGCTCGGAGAAAACCCAATGTGACAGGCGCAAGTGTTTTCTGACACTGTGCACAAGTTGGCCTGGGTTGCTATTTGCTATCTTCGGGCCTCAGGAGGCACTGTTAATTTGTCACATTTTGCATTCATGGTCTGGGAAAAGCACTTGTTTTCCAGCATCTGGTGCCCCACAATAACCAGATAAATTCTTGGTGCCTTGGTTAGTTTTTTGAGTTCTAGAAGCTCACTTAACCTCTTAAGCCTCAGTTTCCTCATCTTTAAAATGGCTATGACAATAGAACTTACCCCCTTAGGTAGGATTAAATAGATTAATACATGTCAAGTGCTTAGAGCAATGCCTGGTATATAGTTAGCACTAAATTTGTATTTATGGTAATGCATACATTTTTGTTTATACAACTTCTGCTTGGCAGAGGACCAACTCCATTGTTTGCACAGAATAGGTGCTTGGTAAATATTTGTTAAATGTGGAAGGAACCAGAAGAATGGGTCTAGCGGAATACGTGAATGGTAATCCGTTCTGACTGCTCGGTAGCCTGCAGTTCAGGGACAGCCCGGCAAAACTGGATGTTAAGATTTAATCTCCTACAGAGAAATATTTCACAAAAAGGTGGCGTGTTCTGCAATCAAACATTGCTGCAGAAAAGAAAGGAACAGAGGTGACAATTTTGCATAAAGATCACAGAGGAAATGACATGCAGAATTTCGTTGAGGGTTATCACACTTGAAGACCAGGTAACAGGGTCCATGACTCTTGGTCAAATCGACAGAAGTATCGAACAGGATCAAAACCTTCAAAGCTACAAAATATATCGGGTCTTTGAGTCTATAAAAAAAATGAATATGGCAAACAGGAGTCAAATCTCTGAACTGTGTCTGCCTCCTATTGCTTTTCTGATAAGTTAGCTTCAACGCGAAATGAATCATTTAATTAAAAAATAGAAGACGAATAGTATAATGTTTTAGGAACTGGTACAGGATGACAAGAGGACCTTGTTATATTAGGTTGAATCCTATGAAATTGCCACTTCTTTTGGTAAAAAATGGTCAGACTGTCAATTTCATATGATTTAATCTAATAT